GGATGTCGATAAATGACTGACTCAGTAGGCATTTCGAAACTTATTTAGAGCTGAGGTGAGTAAAGTATAACCCTCAGGCTGCATATACCCTGCTAGCTGCTTTGTAGTCTTTACCACCTTCAGATTTTTGGACAACCCATTTCTGCCTTCCCTGGAAACTTCCAGGAGTTGTGGTGGACCTTTTAATAGACTAAAATGTTCCTTGCACTGTTTATTGCGTTTTTAAAAATAAATCCATTTTTAAAAGAGGAAAAATGGAATTTTGAGCCACTCTGTTTTTACCCCTGTTTGGGGGCTTCTTTGGCAGTCCATGTTGCCCACAAAGGAACTCAGAATAGAAAATAGACCCATGGGCCCCCTACGGTTTCTCACCCATGATTTAAAGAGTGTGGTACTTTTTTTTGTACAAAAACAATCCCATTTTCACCAATCAGGTCATAATAAGGGCTTGGTTACTTTTTAAGTGTGGTGGAGTCTCCTTCTTTGGAGGCTTTTAAACAGAGGCTGGATGGCCATCTGTCAGGGCTGCTTTCAGTGCGACTTTCCTGCTTCTTGGCAGAGGGTTGGAGAGGATGGCCCACGAGGTCTCGTCCAATTCTATGATTCTATAATGTGTGACACACATTTATTCTTTATTACAATGCAGTTCATGAACAGGATCTCTTATTGTAGTCTCACCAGCAGCAGAAATTCTCCATTGGGTCAATGTTATAGGATGTTTTCGGCTCCCAAAAATGGCGAGATTCTATAATTTTAAACAAATCACTTTGAAGCCTTTATAATTATCGGGGAAAAGTCTCAGCAATGTGTTGCCAGTTGCTTGCTTTGAAATTCAACCAAATGAGTTTTCTTCCTGGAGCTGCTGGGGCTTAAACTGGGACTGTGTATTTATCGCTACATGTGATAAACCACTGAGTTGTGTATTGCACCTAGACAACCAAACATCATCAGGCCCTGGGCTGACCTTACCCATTCAGCTTAGCCGTTGGGTTTTCTAGGACATGAGAGCTTGGTGTTTGCTTTCTTTGTTGCAGATTTATGGCCAAACTTGAGTACACAGCAAAAACAAAAACAAAAAAACATCAGAGACAAATATGCTTGTTCTTTGGCCACTTCAATTTAGCCTCCTCAAGTGCACAAAGGCAGCATAACAGTTCTACTAGGTCTCGAGTATTAAGGTATGATTAGAACCAACAAGCAGTTGAACAAACGGAATTGGAAAACTGATGCAATACAACAAAGCTTAGGTCACTAGAGTGCCTAGCTGGATTCCCCTATCATCTCTTTGATTCAGACTTCAACCATTGAGGCAGTTTTCCCCAGCCTAATGCATTCCTGATGTTTGAGACTGGATTGTTAGGAGTACTGGAAGTTTTCCAGATGCTCAGATGATTTCTAGTACTCCCGATCTAGGCCAAAACATGTAGGAAGGTGGCTTGAGCATTCAGTGAGACTTCATTCCACGTGCCTTCTTCTACTTTGGTTAGGTAAAAGGGTCTGGAGCAGGGGGTTTTCTATTGAAGAACCCACTCCTGGAGTTTTGTTTTCTAGGTGATCAACTTGGTTTCTTGCAATAAACATAAAGTATGCCTCAGGGGCACAGTTGCATCTGAGTGTAGATTATGCAAATTAAAGTGAAGTATTGCAACGTACAGAATTCCCTCTGAATTCAACTGTGCACTAGTAGTCAATTTGTGAAGTATAATATGTCTGTGGGGGAGCTAGTTTAGTGTATAAAAGCGAAAGTTCAAATCTTGAACCCTTTTAAAAACCACATTTAATAGAATAAATTTGTAACTATTCTTCATGAAGGACAAAACTTAATTGAAGCAATGTTGTTTAACAAATGATAGCTATGCAAATCAACCGTACTTAGCCTTATGACCCATCTGAACTAAATGAGGACTGATAGCAGTGTATCATCACTTACTAGATACTTGTATATGCCTCTTCCCAAATCATTATTAGTTCTTGACCTCAATTAAGTGTTATCAGCAGGAGAGGACAGAAGGGAATCAATAATGGCATTCGAAAAAAGTACTGCTTCTACAGCTTGATAGTGTTATTTGCTGATGCTTTGTAAGGGCACTAGGCGAAAGCAGTAAGGAGGTTAAAACTCTAATCCTGTTTAGGAACAAAACACTGCAGCTTTTATCACACAGTAGTGCAATACTTAAAGCCATAAACTGGGGCATTGGCATGATAACAATACATTGGGGGGATTAGTAAGGCATTCCTAGTCAGGTGTTATGAATATCCCGTGGGCTGAAATTGGGTGGGAGAACATATTCTATATAGTCATTTTAGGATTGCTTTCAGAAGTGTCCAAGTGACAGAGACTTTTCATAAAAGCTGCATTGTAGAAAAATGAAGTGAAAAGTAGAAATGGTCAGAACCATAGGGAGCTGTCTTATAATGGTTAGGACATTTTTCTGTCTAGTTAGGTATGGTCTACACTAGTGGAAAAGGAATCTGATATGCTCTGGATACTATAGCTTTTATCAACTTCAGTCACAGTAGTCAATAGCCAAAGATGACAGAAGATGTAGTTTTTAAAAATCGTGACGACACAAGGTTGCTTATTTCAGTCTATAGGCCCTTCCACACAGCCATATAACTCAGAATATCAGGGCAGAAAATATTTGCTTTGAACTGGATTATCTGAGTACACACTGCCATATACTCCCGTTTAAAGCAGAAAACATGGGATTTTATTCAGCTGTGTGGAATGGGCCTATGTTAATTCACAATAGCACTCCAACAGAACCATAACCTGCTATCTGTTCCTTTAACTGGAAATACTAAAATTGAACTTGTCTTGTGTAAGGTATGAGCCCTTTCACACAGTCCTATATCCCAGAATATCAAGCCAGAAAATTCCACATTGTCTGAGTGTGCACTCAGATAAACCAGTTCAAAATGGATATTGTGGGACTTTCTGCCTTGATATTCTGGGATAGAGGACTGTGTGGAAGGGCCCTAAGCTACACTGAGAAGTCTTTCTTTTATTTCTTACACTTATGTTTTACCTTTCCTCTCAGGAGCTCAAGCATCCACAATTCCCCTTCCCATTTTTATTCTCAGAATAACTCTGTAAGATAGTCTAATTTGAGACACGACTGGATAACGTGGATCCTGTTGATTTCTTATCAAAGGAAAGGCTTTAGGGTTGTGCCTAGAGAAACAATTTGTTGTGCAAGAGAAACAATTTGCAGCAAAAAAGCTGGTTTTGGGTGCTCCAAAAAGCAAAAATAAAAACAGAAAACGCCTTTTAAATATAAAAGGCATCAGAGGGTTATCTGTATGAATAAAAAAAAAAGGTTCCTCATTAAAAGGAGATGCAGTTCCCTGGGACACTTTGCCACTGATCTCAAAGGAATTTCAAGGGAAGCCTGGAAAGGGAAACAACTGAATGGGAATACATTCATACATTCCAATCTAATAATAGAGATTTGAACAGAAATAGTGACTTCTTAGCATACTTTTCTATTATGTTCCATGAGGCCAGCTTAAGTTTATAATGTTTTTATGACTAAGAGACCACAGGGAGTCCTTGTCATTAACAGCAAGGTCAGGACCAATAATCTTGACTGAGACACCTTATCTGTAATGTGGTCCTCCTATTTGCCAATTGCCTTCTCCTTTATCAAGCCTTTTAACCTTTTCCAATGAGTCGTGTCATCTTGTGACATCCAAGTTGCACCATGAATATTAATGTGGCTTTCAGGACAACTGTGTGTACACAACATTTTCCAGGAATAGTCTCTGCCTTATATTGTTTTGGCATCCATGTAACAAATATATAAGACAATTACATTCTCTATTCTCTATTTATTTACCAGATTATCTAAGAATATATGCACAATTTTGCATTTACCTTTTTACTTTATATACTCAATAATAATAATAATAATAATAATAATAATAATAATAATAATAATAAATTTTATTTCATACTCCCCTTGTGACTTGAGGAGGGTTACAAGATAGCTAAAACGCATAATCATTATATAAAACACACACATTAAAACATGTTTCTACAAAATACATATATTAAAATACACAGAACAAAGTTTCAAATGTAGTGAACATAAGCCGTACTGGGTAGCCATACCAGAAGATATGTGTTTTGAATTCTGACAGCTGTTCTAGCTGCCAGATATCTTCTGGCAAGTTGTTCCACAGTCTTGGGACAGCCAATGAAAAGGTCCTCTGGGTGACAGTCACCAGGCAGGTTCTGGTGGGCTGGAGTAGATGCCCCCCAGAGGATCTCAGTGTTCGGGGCAGATTGTACAGGAGAAGGTGATCCTGTAAGTAGCCTGGACCCAAACCATGTAGAGCTTTAAAGGTAAAAACCAATATTTTGTATTTTGCCTAGAAACCATCATTAAGCCTAATTGTTACCCTGTCACCATATCAGCAAATTTAATAAAGTTCCAGGTTTTGTTGACCAAATGTGCTATAGTCCCATTGGGATTCCTGATCTCTTGTAATCTATCATGATGTAGGACATTAGAATAAGTATCTCTACCTCAATAGTGAATATAGACCTTGGGTAGATTTGTTTTCTCAAGGACTTTTGTTGTATCCCTCATCTAGCACAATGCCATATAGTGTGAGGACTGAGTTTATACATACAGACACCCCCAACAAAGAGAGTCCCAATATTTGAGGCAGTAGGTCTCTTGGTGCCATCTAATTTGGCAAACTCAAATGTAATTATTTGATACAGAACACTGAGAGACACTTGCTAGTGGTATCTACTTCTAAGAGGAGAAAGCAGAAATGCAACATATGGGATAAAGATGGTCCCAAGATTGTTTTTGAGACTGCCAAGGATTCTTCAAGGAGCCCTGAAATGTTTGATTAGAAATACCCACCCAAAATTCATAGAGGTGTGGCCAAGTTTTGACACCATGGAGTCTGTCTTACTATGATAGACTATTTCGAATCGTGTCGACACTTTTCTAAGCTAGGTGTTGTTTTTGTTTGTTTTTAAGGTTGCAGCTGCTCCATGGTGGCTGCCAGTCAAAGGAGCTGACTGGAAGCACCCAGAGGGTCCAGATTCTAATATCGTAGACAGGTAAGTGATTGAGTTTCAGTTGTATGTTCCTGAATGAATGAGATACTTTGGGGGACATTTTAATAGTCCAATACAAATTCTAGTGTTTGCATTTCAGAGTTATAAAATGTCTCAAAAGAAATCTATATTTGCAAGGTCAGAAGAAAGGTACTTAGGTTTTTGTCCCATAGATTGATTTTGTTAGAAAACATAAGAGTTGTTGTGGTGGTGGTGGTGGTGATGTCCCTTCAAATAATTTCTAATGTAGGATTACCTAAGACGAACCTATCACAAAGTTTTCTGAGACTAAAAGTATACGACTTACTCGACCAATAGGTTTTCATGACCAAGTGGGAAATGAATCATATTCTTCAGAGTGTAATACAATACTCAAACTACTATGTTGGCTCCATGGTCCATGTTAAAAATGGTTGGATCAATACATTCTCCAAACTCAACAACCATTATTTATTTATTTATATAGTGCCATCACAGTACATGGCACTTTACAAATAAATGACAAACAAAGCAGTAGCCTGTTTTGTTTAGTGATATATCGTTCTGCTAAAAGTTTTATGAAAAGTCAAGATTGATCCCATTCACAGCATTCATGGTTTTGACTATGTCATTATCCTGCTTCTTGGCAGGGGATTGGACTGGATGGCCCATGAGGTCTCTTCCAACTCTATGATTCTATGCTTCTATGACTAGATGCTTTATATTAAGTTTTAAATATTTGATTGCAAGATTAAATGTGTGAGGCAGACATATGTAGAATGGTGGCAAGGTTCATTACATTATTTTGAAATACTTCCTTTCATTTCAAAGAAAAAAATTATCACTTACAGAATGTTACAAAGAGAAGAGTGAGATTTTTGAAACCTGTTCATTGTTATCTGTGTAGGTTTCAATAACTTTGTTTTTGGCCCTCTACGCCAGATTAAAAAAAAAAAATGAAAAAACGCCCTTAAAGTCATTGCTTTTATGAACTCTCCTTGTAAGTAATGAGGGCTCTGGAGCATTGGTTTTCTCCTGCTTTGCTTTTTGCTTCCTTGCATTTTCCCTCCAACTTCTTGTTTCAGTATATCTACACTGCGTGTAATTTAAGCAGGTTGTAGTTCTTTTGGACATGGGAGAATTGGGATATAGCCTAAAAGGGATACTTTTTTGTAGAATTGTAAGAAATGGTTCATAGTTCCATGCTTCATGAACAGAGGAGAATTAATGTTGTAATCAATCCATTAATTCTTTAATTCATTGACATCCTGGATTTCCCCAGTGTGGGACTTAAGGTAGCCTAAAAATCTTTAAAAATCTTATAAGTGAAACATATAAACTGTTGTTCAAATAGTAGAATTAAGCAGTACGCAGAATTAAAACCCTTAAAACAAATCCATTAAAGGATAGATTATGAAAAATCATCAGAACAGCATCCCATTAAAAACCTTTGCGGTGACTTTATTGTTGATGGGAGCATAACAAAGGGAGGGAATACCAAAACCTGGGGGCCCTCCCCTGCCTTCCTCTCAAATGAACCTGGGATGGTGATAGGACCAAAACAAGGGCCTCCCCAGAAGATTTGATCCTTCAAATTGCCTGAAGCCATGTTGCATAGCACTTTGAACATATGTGTACTTTCATGTGGACCAGGATCCAGTAGAGTTGTTCCATTGTTTGGGTGGAACAAGATAGGAGCAGTTCCTTCTTTACTCTGTGATCCTCCTAAACTAAAAATCTGATCCAAAGGACTGTGAAACTCTCTGGGCCAGAGTTTTGGGTCACATGAAGTATTCCCATTGATGCTTCTGTGGTACTGGTCACTGAGAATTAAGGCTACAGTGGCTGCTATGAAGATACTAGAACTCATTCTCAAGGCGCTCTTGATACGAAAAAAACCTGTTCATGTTCTTTTTAGACTGAAGTGCTATGTAAATTTTTATCTGGGATTACCTTTTCAAGTATTCTACACAAAAGGGAAACATACATGAGAAATCTAGAGGACGTTTAGGTTTTCTTATTCCTTTTCTTAAATCTACAGTATTGTGTTTGAAAGAAACAACCATTGGGAAGCTCTCTCTGTAGCAAGAATCATTTTAATTATTCTTAAAACTGTTGACACCTTAAAATACACACAGTTTCAGGTGAAACCAAAACTTTAAAAGGAATTAACATGTAAAAAAGATTAAGAGCAATGATGACACATCTCTGTTTGTTTTGGTTTTTTTTTAGAATTTCAGGGATCTAGAAAATATCTCATTGTGAGGTGTGGCTTAATTGTCTTTTAACTTTTATAATATGTTTTCCCTTATTATAGAAAGTATTTAATGTTGTTGTTATCACTTTGCAATTATAACGTTAAAGGTTTGCTGCCTCATACCTACTCTTTGCTAGTGGACTTTGCAGTTGCATTGCCTTTGTTCTCCTCTTGGATTTGGGTATAAATTGATCTCATTTACATCGTCATAGTATAAGAAGCGGATTTTTCAGGGGAGAAGAAGGGAGAGGAAACAGAAAAAGGTGACATGAATGGCCTCAAACATGCATGGATACATTTGTTCTGATCCTTCTCACTCTTTTCACTAGATGGTCCTCACTGTCTACTCATCAAACTTTGCAGAACTTTTAATATTATAGTGTGCGGTTTTTGTTTTATCTCTATGAATATTTTTGCAGAAAGCTATAACCAGTGAAGTGGCCTTGAGTCTGTCATTAAGTATATTAATCAGATTCTTCCCCTTAGGGCTGGCAAAAGCTAACGTATCCCTCAAATCCATTAAGACAAGAACCACATTGCTCTAATATCATCTGGTGCTTGATCCTCAGAACACGTCCGTCATTTGGTCTCCAGAGGGGTTGAAAGAGAATGAATTGACACCAAAAATAGAGGCATGAGATGATTAAAAAACAAAAAAGAGGTCAAAATCAGCGCTAAATAACAGTTCCAGAAATATTCTCCTTTTAGCCTTAATGTGTTATAAACATCAATAATCCTGACCTAGGACAGGTTATAGGCATGTTAATAACCAAAGTTTTCCAGAACACTGTTCTATAATAAGAAAGCAGTGTAATATAGTTTCTTATTATAGAAAGCTGTTCAATAATACTTTCCTTGTGGGCTTGATAAAACCTAAAAAGAACCCAAATAAAAATTAATGAAATTCATTGCTAAATTTGGATTAAATCTGACATTACTCTAGTGACTTTCTTCTCTTTTTTCTGGACATCCTTCCCTCTCCATCTTTGGTAATGTCCTGAATCTGTACGCAGCCATCAACCATATAGGAGGCATAGAGGAATCGCTCCTTTTGTGATTCTCGTTCATACTTCACAATTATACCACTATGATTACACTTTAACTGCCATGCTAACGTTTTCTGGAATCTTGTTTTTTGCAGTTTTAAGAAGAGCATTTGCAATATTTTGCCAGAAATCTCGAATGCAGTGTTTCTCAACCTGGGGGTCAGGACCCATGGGGGTGGTCGTAAGGGGGTGTCAGAAGTGTTGCCAAAGACCATCATGGGGGGTTTGTGTGGGAAGTTTGGCCCAATTCTCTTGTTGGTGGGGTTCAGAATGCTACTTGATTTTAGGTGAACTATAAATCCTAGCAACTACAACTCCCAAATGTCAAGCTCTATTTTCCCCAAATTCCACCAGTGTTCACATTTGGGCATATTGAGTATTTGTGCCATGTTTGGTCCAGATCCATCATTGTTTGAGTACACAGTGCTCTCTGGATGTAAGTGAACTACAACTCCCAAACTCAAGGTCAATGCCCACCAAACCCTTCCAATATTTCCTGTTGGTCATGGGAGTTGTGTTTGCCAAATTTGGTTCAGTTCCATCCTTGACAGAGTTCTGAATACTCTTTGATTGTTGGTTAACAGAATCACCCCCCCCCCCCCCCCCCCCGGTCCCCACCAGCATTCTTTGGGCGTATTGGGTATTTGTGCAAAATTTGGCCTAGTGAATGAAAATACATCTTGCATATCAGATATTTACATTGCAATTCATAACAGCAGCAAAATTACAGTTATGAAGTAGCAACGAAAATGTTATGGTTGAGGGTCACCACAGCATGAGGAACTGTATTAAGGGGTTGCGGCATTAGAAAGGTTGAGAACCACTGCTCTAATGCTCCCTTATTCTGTCTGGAAATATGACCATTTGTTTGACCACTGCAATGTGTCCTAGATTTATAATGATACTAGGCAGAAAATTGATAAAGGCTTGCTAGAAGCCAAAGAACACTAAGCTGGTTTGGTGTTGTAGGGTTGATCAAAAAGCTAGATAATGGCTAGGAAAGCTTGGTTTCATATCCCTGCCATGTGGTTCACTGCAAGTCAATTTTACCTCAGGATTAATATAAGGATACAGTGAGGTAAAATGCATCCATATATGCCCTCTTTAGCTCAGTAGAAGGATGGATAGAAAAATGAACAACATTAAAGTGTCATATGTTGTATCGACTGCGAGACTTTATATACTTTTGAAGATCCTTTAACACAGGTTCTAGAATAATGCTTTTCAATCTTTACCCTTTTAATAGTGGCACAGGAACAGTTCTCACAGGATAAATGTATTAATTTGCTATTCTTGTGAATCATGTCTTTCTGGTCTAAGAAATGTCCTTAAGCTAACCTTCCCTCTGTTGTTCTCCACTGTTCATTTTAAAAACAAAGTGTTTTTAAGAGGTCTGAGTAACATTGGTACCTGTGCTCTTTATTAGTTGATGAGTCCCATTTTCTTTAGGTATAGATAAAGGTATGGATACGTTTTCTTTACTCCCTTGCTATCTCTCAGACCAATGAACTACACTTTCTTTAGCAAATAGTCCTCTTCCTCTTTTAATCTTGTGATGTTTGTACTTTGGTTTTAATCTTTTACTCACTAGACTGGGTATTTGGAGTTCTAGTATCAAGTAGCCCATTTTCGTTTTATCTGTTCACACATACATCATGTGAAGCAATTTCATGGCCTGGCAAAACATGATGACTGTTTCACTTCAGAGGATCTGAGTCAAGCCTTACTGATACCCCTGATGTCCTTGTTTACACTGGTTGGGTTTTGTTTTTGACTTGTCTTTCAGAATGGATCATCCTGTCCTTCACATTTCTTGGAATGATGCCGTTGCATTTTGCACTTGGGCAGGAAAACGGCTGCCAACAGAAGCTGAATGGGAGTACAGCTGCCGAGGTGGCCTTGAGAATAGGTATAGCTCCTAATTTTTCTTTTGCAAATGGAAGCAGATCAATAATAAATAATAATAAACTTTATTTATACCCCACCACCATCTCCCCAAAGGCACTTGGGGTGGCTCACAGAAGCTGAACATAAAATAGACAATACATAAACATACAGACTATAACAGCATAAATTTTCAACAGCAAACGTACATAAAATGACATATAATATATATTTTTAAAAAATCATAAAATGCAGCAATGCTTGCTAATCAAACTGGTAGTCTTAAAATTAACAATCCAAGTGCTGGAGTGGAGCAGTCACTAAGTCATCACGTCTAACCATTAAAATCTACTCAAGGTCAAAGGCCTGTCTAAAAAGCCAAGTTATTAGACTAGACCGAAAAGCTTGGAGAGTAGGGGCTAACCTAATAACTCCAGGGAGGGCATTCCTGAGCCAGGGAGTCACCACCAAGAAGGCCCTCTCTCTCATCCCCACCAATCGTACTTGGGACAGAGGAGGGACTGAGAGGAGGGCCTCCCCGACAGATATCAGAGCCCATGCTACTTCATAGGAGAAGCTGTGGTCTTGAAGAAAGGTTATACCCAAAGCGTATAAGGCTTTATACCTGATAACGTGAACTTTGAATTGGGCTCAGAAACTTGTTGGCAGCCAGTGGAGCTGCTTTAATAGGGGTATGGCATGCTCCCTATAGTTAGCCCCAGCTAGTAATCTGCCCACCAACCTTTGAACCAGTTTCAGTTTCTGAGCCATCTTCAAAGGCAACTCCACGTAGACTGCTTTTCAGTAATCCATTCTGGATGTAACTAAGATCAAGGGGAAGAAAGCCCTTTTCCTTTTACATAAGGCCTTTAAATTGGCTTAGAAATAGATTCGAATGGCCCTCCGATTGTTGAAATTATATACGTTTAAAGGAAGAGTACTGCAAATCAATTCAGGAGCATAAAGAAAATTGCCCTGTGGTGAGAACTGGTTTTTCCAACTATTGGGGAAATAAACTCTTCAAAATAAATAATACATGGTTGTGCTTTTGAATGTGCTTGAAATAGTGTATGATTATTATTTATCAATTCAATAAATGATGGATGCAGGGAAGGCTTAGAGGAGGCTGTTTGCTGAGGCCAATCCTCATCCATATTCCTTTATACTGTATAAGGAGATTTCCCAAGGTTCCTAGATTTTCTTCTTTTTTAAAGTTAAATTTTCATACAGAATCATGCTTTCTAATATACACATCTTAGCCTTTATACAGCTACTATACAAGCACATGTTGTTGTTCATTCGTTCAGTCGTCTCCGACTCTTCGTGACCTCATGGACCAGCCTACGCCAGAGNTTCGCTCATGACATCATTGAGGTGCTCAAGCTCCAGCGCCCCGACAAGGCGGTGATCCTTTGCTGGAGTCTAGCTACCGGCTGCAAAAATTCCACCTTATTTTACCTTATTTTGCTTAGTTTAGATTCTGGCTGTTTCTTCCCAATGTGTTGCTGTTCATTCATTCAGTCATTTCTGACTCTTTGTGACCTCATGGACCAGCCCACATCAGAGCTCCCTGTTGGCCGTCACGACCCCCAGCTCCTTCAAGGTCAATCCAGTCACTTCAAGAATCCCATCCATCCATCTTGCCCTTGGTTGGCCCCTCTTCCTTTTTCCTTAAATTTTCCCCAGCATAATTGTCTTCTCTAAGCTTTCCTTTCTTCTCATGATGTGGCTGAAGTACTTCATCTTGGCCTCTACTATTCTTCCCTCCAATGAGCAGTTGGGCTTTATTTCCTAAAGTATGGACTGGTTAGATCTTCTCGCTGTCCAAGGCACTCTCAGAACTTTCCTCCAACACCACAGTTCAAAAGCATCTGTCTTCCTTTGCTCAGCCTATGGTCCAGCTCTCACATCCGTAGGTGACTACGGGGAATACCATTGCTTTGACTATGCGGATCTTTGTTGCCAGTGTGATATCTCTACTCTTCACAATTTTATCAAAGTCTGTCACTGCCTCCACATTTTCTCCCTCTGTTTCCCAGTTGTCAATCATTCTTGTTGCCATAATCTTGGATTTTTTTATGTTTATCTGCAACTCAGATTTTGCGCTTTCTTCTTTCACCTTGATTAGAAGACTCCTCAACTCCTCCTCACTTTTGGCCATCAAAGTGCATCTGCATATCTAAGGTTGTTAATGTTTCTTCCAGCAATTTTCACCCCAGCCTTGCATTCATCAAGCCCCGCACATAGCATGATGTATTCTGCATACAAGTTGAATAGGTTCGGTGAGAGTATGCAGCCTTGCCGTACGCCTTTCCCAATCTTGAACCAGTCTGTTGTTCCGTGGTCAGTTCTGACTGTTGCTACTTGGTCCTTGTACAGATTCCTCATGAGAGAGACAAGGTGGCTTGGGATGCCCATCCCACCAAGAACTTGCCACAATTTATTATGATCCACACAGTCAAAGGCTTTAGAATAGTCAATGAAGCAGAAGTAGATGTTTTTCTGAAACTCCCTGCCTTTCTCCATTATCCAGCGGATATTGGCAATTTGGTCTCTCGTTCCTCTGCCTTTTCTAAACCCAGCTTGAACATCTGGCAACTCTCTCTCCATGTATTGCTGGAGTCTTCCTTGCAGGATCTTGAGCATTACCTTACTGGCATGTGAAATAAGGGCCACTGTACGGAAGTTTGAGCAGTCTTTAGCATTTCCCTTTTTTGGTATGGGGATATAAGTTGATTTTTTTTCCAGTCTGATGACCATTCTTGTGTTTTCCATATTTGCTGGCATATGGCATGCATCACCTTGACAACATCATCTTTCAAGATTTTGAACAGTTCAGCTGGGATCCCGTCGTCTCCTGCTGCCTTGTTGTTAGCAATGCTTCTTAAGGCCCATTCAACCTCACTCCTCAGGATTTCTGGTTCTAATTCACTCACCACACCGTCAAAACTATCCTCAATATTATTATCCTTCTTCTACAGATCTTCTATAGTCTCTCCACCTTCTCTTGATCTCTTCAGCTTCTGTTAGGTCCCTGCCATCTTTGTTTCTTATCATGCCAATTTTTGC